GTTGAGTAACGTTTACACTAGATTTCGCTATTTTACTATCGTTGGTTGAATTACGGTATTGAATCAAAGAATATAGACGCTTATTGATTGAATTGTCGCACTTGCCCCAGATTCCTGCTGACCCTGACTTACCTTACGACGTACATTGTATTTTACAGAACAGGTATATAAACTGAGGGGTTAATCTAAACTCTAATAAAATGTAGTAAAGATTATAAATTTTAAGTAATTTACAAAAATTTGCAGAATTATTTAATTAGGATCTAAGTCGGTCCTGATAACTTAAACATTTTAGAGGATTTATAAGGAAGATTATTGTTATTATTTTACAACCATTTTTATTAGGAGGTTATTGCGATAATTATGGCTTTATGTTTGTGAACGCTTCTATTTTAAATTCTTTTATTTCTTATTGCGCTGTCTCCTTTCGAAGATTGGCGATACAAATGGCAATTGTAGTTTTGGAAACTGCTGACCAAAAGATTTCTGTGAATGAACGGTCGAACCATATCCTCAGGTCCTTCTGCCACAAGTTCTGGTGTCTTTTATTGGATCTTCTGCCCTTCCCTTTACCTTCCAATATGATTTGAAGTAATTCATATCTTTCACCTCTCGACACATGTTAACTAACTCAAATATAATAAATACTAACACCTTTAAGGCGGAAACGACTCATTTGCAAAGAATGAATTATCGCGTGTCTATTTTTTATATATAGATAAAAGTAATAGGTATAATCCAGGTAACTATTTGGATAACTGTATCAAATATTTGAATCAGCAAAATAAAAGTGCCATTCATTTTGACCCGTTTAATTCTTATTTAGGATTTGGAAATACTTAATTTTATTAATTTTTTATTAATTTTAATGTATTTTCCTTTGTTCAAAGTAGCTATGTACTTTGTTAATGGAAAGTTGGAAGTCCATAGAAATGAATAGAAATTATATTCTCAATGTAAATAAAATAGTTCTGTCTGAAAACATGGTTTTTTAGAGAATGATTTTTTGTAATTTACTTACTTCGAAATCCGCCAACGTTACCACGAAGAAATAATCTGAGATTTTTTTGTATCAAAATAATTTTCTAGAGTAGTAAACTGATTCAAATTAAAAACAGAACACATAATAATATATTATGTACGAAAATTTATTTCATTCTCTATACTAAATATAGGCAGCCAACATTACAAATATAATTCAAAACCAATAAAATTTTGTAACAACATAAATTTAATCGGAATCGGATAATTTTTTAATATAACTATTTAATAGAATGTGGAGTAAGTTAGACTAGTGGATAAAATAAATAAAAACGTTGCAAAATATGACCAGGTGGTAGGGATACGATATAGAAGACAAGAAGAGGGAGGATACGATATAGAAGATCATAACGGTTATGTCATTTATCAACTTGGAAGCGAGTTATTCAGGTAACTAAATAAGCCCACAAGAATACAGAAAACTCCATTAACGAGGTTGGAAGTGAAGATATTAGATAATAAACTTTTACAATGAAGTAAAAACTTCTAGTGTAATTCTTCTTCTTCTGGTAGCACTACAACCCGGGGTGGGTCTTGGCTGACTGCACAACCTGCTTCCATCTCGATCGGTCGTCCATGATGTTTAAGTCAGTGGGTAGCCCCATTGTTCTCAAATCTGACCATATATTATCTCTCCATCGCATTAGTGGACGTCCTAAGGGCCTTCTCCCTGTCGGGACTGCTTCCCAGATTAACTTGGTAAGGCGGTTATTAGGGAGCCTATGAACATGGCCAGCCCATCTTAGACGTTGGGATTTAATCTCTTGAACTACGTCGCTAGCACTGTACATTTGTTTGACCTCGGCATTTGTTCTCATTCGGTATTGGTTAGTATTCGGATCGTGATAGGGACCGAAGATCTTTCTGAGGATTTTTCTCTCAAAGCATCTGAGTTTACTTTCCATTGCTTTTGTCAGCGTCCACGTCTCACACCCATACATGAGCACCGGTCTAATTACTGTTTTATATATCCTGATGTTTGATCTTCGTGTTAGGCTCTTGGATTTAATAGTGTTGTGGAGGCTATACATACATGGTGATAGTCGCTCCGAGATATTTAAAACTCTCTCTCTCTAGTGTAATTGCTATATATTTAAACATCAAATCAAAAATCTAAATGAATTACAATTATCGAAATTGGTCAGAACGAACGTTTTCGGTGAACTTTAAAGATCCATCTTTAAGTACTTGCCTGTTAAAATAACCTCATCACCAAGTAGTGGGTGTAATTAAATTACATATATAAGGTATTAAAAAGTATAAAATTAAACGACATGGATGACAGGATGTAATGGGATAATGATATGCAACATGTAGCATCTCCTATTCAAACGTCAACCTCACCTGTTCGTATGATGATCTAGAATATCTAGATCATGGTCATCTGATAAATCCTGCTAGATAAATAACGAAGCTCCGACGTTCAAGTATTTGTCAGGATAGGTAATCCACCATTTACTTGCCAACAGCTTCGAGCATATGATCTGGTTAGTTGAAGGGCACTCTGTCGTCCTAAGACTGAGAAATTGGTCCCGAAGACGGAAGAACCAAGAGAGTGGTCAAGGGCATCAAATTGCAGAATGCAACGAGAAACCACTGTATTAAAGACCCCTGATGACATGAAGATGACTGAAGAAATAAAAAGAAGAAGAAAGTTAGCTTGGGCAGCATTCGGTAAACTGAACTATATACTCAGAAATCAACATATTCAATTACATCTCAGATCTAAAGTTTTTGATGCATGCATTATTCCGATATTAACTTATGCGGCACAAACATGGACAATCACAAAAAAGAATATGAATATACTTAGAGTCACTCAACACGCGATGGAAAGAGCACTGCTAGGTATATCACTTAAGGACAAGAAAACAAACACATGGATAAGACAGAAAACCAAAGTCACCGATGTGGTGCAAAAAGCATTAAAGCTGAAATGGGAATACGCTGGACATGTAGCTAGGAGCGATCTAAACAAATGGCACAGATCAATTTTAACCTGAAGACCATACCAACACAAAAGACCCAGAGGCAAACCTCCTATGAGATGGACAGATGATCTGAAAAGGACTGCCGGGAAAAATTAACTACAAGTAGCGTACAATAAAAACCAATGGAAAGGAAGACTTGAAGAGGCTTATGTTCAGATGTGGACGTGAATGGCTAGACGAAGAAGAAGAAGAGGAAGAAGATGACATCTCTAGTAAAGCTATCATGGAAAATACAACTAACGTGGAAACAGTTACTAATCGTGAAATACATAACCCAAGATTAGGCAGTGAAAGTTATTCTTTAAATCACAGGGCCATCCAGGTCGTAACTCAGCGAAACCCCTGTAACTGGAAAAAGTGTTTCTAAGATCTTCAGAGTTGATTATTAAAATATATACCTGGAATGTGAAGACCCTCTACCAGGCTAGAAAACTTAATATCATTCAAGAAATGACCAGGTAGCTAAATAGTAGTGCTTGTATTACTGACAACCAAATGGTATACCATCAGGAAATGATGACGGTCAATATATGTATGGGGTTGGAATAATCATCTCCTGAATTACCTAATTATGTTACAAATATTAAACCGGTTAGTGAAAGATTAATAATAATCCAACTAAATACTACTCCGGCTAAAGTAAATGTTTTATAAATGTATGCTCCCTAGAGCGATAAATCAGATGAAGAGGTGTAGCAATTCTATTAGATATTGATAATTTCACGTAGACGACTTAAAAAAGAAGATATAACTATAATTATGGGTGACTTGAATGCGAACATTGGTAAAAGGAAAAGCGGTGAATTCATTGGTCATGTAGGTCTAGGGAAGAAAATGAAAGTGGAGAAAGATTAAAACTGTATGTAGAGGAAGAAGAATTCGTAAAATAAAATATATTTTTCAAATTACCACCACCACGCTTGTATACGTTGGTCTCTCCGCAAGATCAACCAGTAAACTTATGACAAAATCAAATTGATTACAGAATGGTGAACAAGAGTAAAATCATTACATGTTGTTGATAATATGAGTAAATTAAATTGAATTCAAAGAGTATTGATGGTTGCCTATATGTGAGTAGCTGTATAAGTTCAAATTCATATAATTATGTATAATGTGTGGAGAACCTGTAGTGTTTTAAAAAGAAAAATAGTGTATGAATATTGTGAAATTGTAATTATGTATTTAAATAAATGTGTTGTAATCACAAAAAGATGTAATATATGACAAAAAAAAAGGGGGACTGAATATAGCACTGTTTATGTTGGTTGAAAATACTGTAGACAATTTGGATTCAAATTCTGTTCAAAATAAATGTGTGTAAATATGTACATGTTTGGTTAACTCAATTGATCAGAGTTTCTGTATGTTTTTAGAAAAAGTGCAGTATTGCGAATTTTTAAAAATTTCTAAAAATTTTAAATTAAATTTTTGGCAAGGAGGTAGGAACCAAACTGGATGTTACGTTGAATATTATGTCTTTTCCCATTAGATACACTATGTGTACTAACTTGTGTGTAAGTGATATATAGAGAAGTACCTACCTATTTAATAACACTTCCTTGAAGTTTGCAGAGTGCAATATTAAAAAACATTAATTTAATATTTTATGGATTAGACGTTGCTCAAAATATTTAAAATGAAAGTAAACAACTATTATTTGTGGTATGAAATATACATTTTAAAATATGAAAAATATATGAGCTGATGATAAAATTGAAGAGTTGTCTCTACTCATTAGTATAGAACAGACACTACATTAAGAACAAATATTTAACTTTTGGGAAGAGTATGTCCCTACTAAAAATTACACTAATATGAGGGTTGGTCTGCAGACACCATTAAACTAACAATATTATTGTAAAAGAAACAGAAAAATCCCAAGCCTACAAAAACGGGAAATATGTGTATAGGATTATGTCACTTTTGTTTACTTTAGCTTATAATATGTACAAAAACAGAAGCTTTAATTAACAGTTTTATTCAAATAACCATATAAAACATTTTTTATAACTTTACTCGGAGTGCAGTACCATATCTATTTTATAATCAGTTTCTTCTGTTGGTATACTATCCACAACTTGGATATCAAAACCTACGGCTATCAGCGCTGGAGGCTTTGCTTGTTTTTCACAAATTGTTCGTAAGAATCTATCGTAGTAGCCACCACCATGCCCTAATCTGTCGCCATTTTTTGTAAATGCTACGCCTGGAAGAATGATCAGATCGAGACCTAAAAAAGAAATGTATCACATATAGTAAATATATTATATTACACAATCCAACAGCTATTTTAGTGCCGGAGAAGTAAGAACTCAATCTAAATATTTTTGAAACTCAAAAAAATGGCTTTCTTTTTTGTAGAAGATATAGTTTTTAATCTAGCTTTGCAGGCCCATCTTATGCTGTCCTTTTATATTTATTTATTACTTGTCGATATAAAAACAAAAAAATAGAAATTAGACTATTTATATTTAAAGTATATATTATTATACACCTACCAACACCATAAAGGGCGAACACATAGTAACACGCAATAAATACAACATTGGTTACTCATCACCAAACAATTTTATACAACTTTCCAGCATGCGGGTGTCCAAAACCTGAAGGATTCAACAATAATCGGCCATTATATGGCGATCTCATTTTCCTTGATAACGAGTTTTTATTAATTTAAGGTTTAATGTTCTTCACTGCAGTCATAAGATTTCTGTAAAGACCTAAATTTTCTGGAAATCGATCTCAGTGATCTGGAAAACTATAATGATGAGGACTATGAAGGACCTGGGGGAGGGTGCAGAGTTAAATGTAGTTCATTATAAAAATATTTCCAAATGCCCCATGGTCCTTACCCGCTTCCTCAAAAAAGAGGATGAAGTCATTAGGTCTAACCAAGCGTCTAAGGAAAAAAACAAGAGGTTAAGAAGCAAGACTGTTTGTTAAAAGGAGCACAATCCCACCCTACACGAAAGACAAAGTTTCCTATAAAGCAGTGAGAGTTGCTCATTTTAAGAGGTATTACAGAAACGTATCCTTCAAAACAGTCAGTGCCTCGATGGCTCCATCGAAGTCCTGCAGATTAATCTCCAGTCTAGTAAAGCAGCTTTGGCAAAACTTACTATTGTTATGAGAAGGTTTGACCTAGCTTTAATACAAGAGCCCCGAGTTTACAAGGGCAAAATAATCTATTGGACATTGATGAAGAGCTTAAATACCTGATAGGATCTGTATGGTAGTCAAACGGCATATTAAAACACTGCTTTGACGAATCCTTGTCTTAGAGATTTACCGAAGATGAAGATAAAGACCATGGAGAAAGTATGAAAGAGATAACTCTCGGATCAGCATACATCCCATACTATAATCTCGAGCTATCACTACTAAAGGAGTTAAAATAGTTAGTGAAAGATTGCGAGAAAAATGGACTACAATTATTCATATGCTCTGAAGCGACTGCGCACCATCTGTCCTGGGACAGTACAAATACCAAAGAAAGAGGTGAGTCAATACTACAATTTGATACGGAACAGAATTTCTTAGACATACTAAATGTAGGAAACAAATCAAGTTTCGTCATTTCCCAACGAAAGGAGGTAATTGATATATAATAAATAATATATTTAAAAATTCCTTTATAAAAAGTATAATAATAAAAACCATATATGGCTACATCACAGAATGTTTTCGGAATAACTATTCCATCATCAGTGCTGTGTGGATGTACATGTTTAGAGTCACTAAGTATATGGGTAAAAACCCTTTTAATGTTATATGATGAACTTTAAGTTACATGTTTGATAATTAAAACTTAGGATGTTTAAGTTATAATAGGAATTTTTTTTTTTTTTTTATTAACAATTGGCTATTAGCGAACAATAATTTTTATTACATTTATAATATTAGTTTATATAGAATTTAAAATATTAAGTGAGGTTAAGAAACTTTTTAAATTTGAAATATTGTACTGTAAACCTAAAATGTCACTTAGTTTGTTGGGTATACTGTACAATATGCGCTTTGGCGATAATGCTGGACATTTTTCCAATATATGTTTGACTGTTATTTTTTCGTCACAGTTGTCACATCTTGGTTCTTCTTTGTTAGAGAACACGTAGCTATTCGTTAGTCGCGTATGACCCAGTCGAAGTCGCGTTAATATTACCTGGTCTCTTCGACTTGTTGGTAATGTGGGCCAGGGTTTAATCGATTTTTTTACATCGCGTAGCTTTGCCGATGACACTTTCCACTTTTCATTCCACATATATCGCACTTTAAATTTAATCGTTGCTTTCACGTCCGCACTCGTAAATGTCTTAGTACATTCCGCACTATCACTTCTTGCAGCTTCTTTTGCAGCGTTGTCTGCCTCTTCATTTCCTGGAATTCCAATATGGGATGGTATCCAAAATAATATAATATTTTTTCCATTCAGTTGAGCGGTGTGGATTTCTTCTTTTATCTTAATGACTAAAGGATTAGTTGGGTAGACATATTGGATTGACTGGACTGAAATTAGAGAGTCTGTGAGTATGATATAATTGGTAATATTGGATGCATTGACAGCAAGGGTAGCCTGGTATAGAGCATACAGTTCAGCAGAGTAAATGGAGTACTCTGAAAAGAGTTTATATTTATTTGTCGATGTTGGGGTTATGATTGCAGCACCAGTACCTTCATTTGATTTAGATGCATCTGTGTATATATGTGTATAGTCCTTGTAGTTGTGAAGCATATCGTTGAAGGCGGATTTGAATAACTGTGGGTTTGTTGAATGTTTGTCGAAAGAAATGAGGCGGGTTAGGCACTGAGGATTCTTTATTTGCCATGGAGGAATTAAGGACAATTGGGAAGAAAAGCATTCTGGGAGCGTGTAGTTTAGTTGATTTAAATAGCTTCTAATCCTTGCGTAGAAAGGTTTGGCAGTTCTTGGCTTATTTATGAAGAGATTTGGAAACTTTTCTGTAAAACAATTGTTAATGGTAGGGTTTTTTGGGTTAGACCTGATTTTTGCGGCATATGCTACACATAAATAAAGTCTTCTGTCTTCTAAGGACGGTTCACCAACTTCACAATAAAGACTTTCGATTGGTGTTGTGCGAAAAGCTCCAGATATTATGCGTAAAGATAGGTTGTGAAGACTGTCAAGTTTTTTTAGCAGTGTCTTAGTGGCTGTAGAATACACAGTAGATCCATAATCTAATTTTGATCTGATTAATGTTCTGTATAACATTAAAAGTGTTTGGCGATCCGCACCCCATTCTTTATTGGCCAGAGTTTTAAGAAGATTTAATCGCTTGTGACAAGATAAGATCAAATTTGTTATATGAAGTTTCCAGCTTAGATTTTCTTCAAATGTCATGCCCAAGAATTTTATTGACGTTACACGTTTTAGGTCCTCATCACATAGTCTTAGGTTAGGGATGTTTGTGACATTTTTCTTAGAAAACAGGATGAAACGAGTTTTTTCAGTGGAAAAACAGAAACCAGTTTTTTGTGACCAGAGTTCAAGTGTTTTATGAAGTTCTGTGTGTGATTAAATATGTTTTGTATATTTTTACCTTTGCAGAAAACTACAAGATCATCCGCGTAGACGCGTGCCTTTATAGGTGATTTTAGATTTATGAGAATATCATTCATTGCCACTATAAAGAGCGTAGGACTTATTACCGAGCCTTGAGGAATGCCATTTTCTGGATACATTATATCTGATGTTGTGTTGTTTGTCCTAACTCTGAAAGCTCTATTTTGAAGGAAGTTTTTAATAAAGAAGAAACAGTGACCTTGAATGTTCCAACGATGTAATTTTTTTAATATATAATCGTGCCAAGATGTATCGAAAGCTCTTGATATGTCAAAGAAAACCGCTAGACATTTATTCCTTAGTGCGAATGCTTCAGAAATGTCACTTTCCAAATCTATGATATTATCTATGGTTGACCTTTGCTGTCTAAAACCACTTTGTTCTGGAATAATTAAATCTTGTCTCTCCAGATGCCATCTTATTATAATAATTTTTTCAATAATTTTTTCTAGTAACTTACACATGGCGCATGTTAAAGCTATCGGTCGGTATGACTCGGAACTTGTTTTAATACTATTAGGTTTTTGTATAGGTATAACTGTGGATTCACGCCATTTTTCAGGAAATTTGTGCTGTAGCCAAATAATATTAAACAGATTTAAAAGTTGTTTGTGAGCGCTATCTGGAAGGTGTTTGATAAAAATACTAGGAATATCGTCCGGGCCAGCACTAGTTTCTTTGAGATTTGATAATGCTTCTGTATACTCTAATTCAGAAATGGGTAAATTTAACGGTTCATCTGTATTAGGTATAATATAATAGGAATTGATTACATAGCAACGTAAGAATCCACTGAGGTTGAAGGACTAGCAACCTTAGTGGAGTCTTACGTTGCCATATGCCATCGAATCAAAGGAAAACTTTAAAGATATAAAATTAACTCTATATACATACCCCATACCCATTAAAAATTCATATACCTAATGTGAATGTTTCAAAGAAGAACAACAAAATCTAATTTAATTTTCTTCTTCCGAAGAACACTCGATGTCACTATCGTCACTTCGTAAATTTATTATAATGGGATTAATATCTTCTTGACGGTCTATTTGGACTTCGGATGTTAAATAACTGTCTTCTATTTTAGTTTCACGATAACATCGTTTTCTCCACTCCTCTGGGATTATTTCGGAAACTCGTTTTTCTCACAGGTGTCTCACATCTTCTCCAATTTGAAAGTTATGTTATATTTTGTGCGATATTATTTTTAATCGCAGCCCATATTAGCTCTATCGGATTTAAATCCGGATGGTATGGAGGTAACCGTAAAGGAGTGACACCATATTAACGCAAAAGTTCATCGAATTCATACCTTTTGAAACGATTTTTATGGTACTTAATCAACGCATACAATTCGGTTTAGGAAAGCCAATCAATCATATCATTTTTTTTGGAATTACTATTTGTACCGAATGGTATGAGGCATTATCGCAAACAACTACTGAGTTGGGGTGTAAATTTGGAATTAGTTTTTCCTTTAGCCATTTGTGGTAATTCGTGGCATTCATTTCTAAGTGGTAGTCACCGGTTCTACTACGAGACTTAAATATTAAAAGCGCGTTTGGAATAAATCCCATTTCACCACCAGCATGCACTACTATTAAATGTTGACCCTTCGAAATCATCAGTAATTCTTTAATAGAATTATCATTCCAAGGTTTCGACAAAGTATGTCCACTGTGTACATATGTCTCATCGAGGTAAACAATGGGTCTGTTTTCGTTTCTCTCTCAATTTAGTTCTTCAATTTATTAACAGTAACACGACAATTCTCTGTTCTATGAAAATCATGTATTATATGCCGAATATCTGTAATTTGATATTCTGGTAAATCTGTCACAGGAGACGTTCTTAAAGGTCTCTAAAGAAAATTCAACTTTGTTTTTATTATTTAGAGACCGTTTGCTCTCTTGTAGTATTCTGGATACGGTCCGTACAGAAATGCCTATAACGACGTAAATATAATCAGCGTATAAGTAAAATAAAAGATGAAGAAAGAGAAGATTAAAAGTAAAATAAAAGAGAAGATATGGAGAAAATGGGAGTGAGACAATAGGAAATAGTGGCACAGGACCGACAAACATGGAAGGCAATAGTAAACGCGGCAAATACTCATGAAGAGTTGTAACGCCATTGATAATGATGGTGATGATGAAGTAAATAATAATTTAAAATGATTGGTATGTTGCAGGAATAATTCTTCAAATGTTAAACAGACAACATATAGAAACGAAAAAGTACATTGAGAAATAACTCAAAGCGATAGTAGAAAATTAAAAAAATAATAAATAAGAACTTTCTACGAAAACAAGAGCCTATGGAGAACTCTTTCTCCACATATGAAAAAGGATGACGATCTATTACTAAATGAACTAGCTAGGGTAATAATGACAATTTGGCAAAATTATTTTACAGTAAATGGGATTATTATTTTATAAAAAATTATAGTAAATAAAAATGAAGTAGTGATGGAAACACACCATGGAATTGTAGATGATCACATAGTAGTAGAAGAGCCTACAGACCAAGAAGTAGTAAACAAAATAACGAAGTAAACGTAATAATAGCTACAAATAACGACTGTAACTAAAGTGCAGAGAATACGATATTTATTACACATCGAAGGAATAAAACAGAAATATGTCAAAAATGGTATTCTCGACACACCCAATATAAAAGAGAAGTGACGGTAGGCAAAATGGGGTATAAGAGCAGAGTATAAAAGATTGACAAATAAGTAACATTGAGAACTAACAGTAAAAAGTTAACAGTAACTCCTTACCTGTTGCTTCAGCAGTGTTATTTTTTATAATTAGCAGAGTGTCCATTTCACTTTTCATATTTTTAAAATAATTATAAACATTAAATATTATTTGACGACCCTGCTCTTCAATAACGCTACGTTTTTTTTCTTTGATTTTCAGCAAGATTGTTTGAAAATAAAATTATTTAATATTTAACACACACAACTTGTTCTCAACTGCACTTCTGCGCGACTGAGTATTGAAATGATTTACTGCTAAGGCGTGGCTTAGGTAGAAATTTCAAATTTTGACCTTTGCCCAGTGCGATAATATGCAAATTAGATGCCTTCCTAAATGACGGGATCTCTTTTTTTTCTACCTAGTACACAGACGGGTTCAACACTGAATAAGGGTTGGGTTTGGGAATATTCATTGCGACTGAAAATTGAAACGTTTTTTTCCACTGTGAGAAGGCAACATAACTTTCAGTGATTCAGTCAAACACATGGTCAATAAAGTACTGCGGTAAACAAGCAGAAATCAACTTTGAAAATGAAAGGCAAATATCGAGCACAATTAATTAAAACAAATAAATCTTACCCAAGTACTTTCGCTTAAAACAGCATCTTCAGCGGCATTTCGTCAAGTTTGGGCTATCCAGCAAGCGTAGAATGTGGTAAACATGAATTTTAACATATTGTATGTTAAAATACGTATGTATGTTAATACATGTTAAAATTCATGTTTATCACTTTTTTTTTCAGATTCTAGAATCAGATTTTCTAGATCTATAGAGCAAAGAGGTACAGAGTTCAGGTTCAGCTGTATAGGTACAGACATTAAGATTCCAGAATCTTGGAACAGGTATCAAGAGTGCCTAGATAAATCAACCGGCTGCATTTAGACCGACTGCATTACAATAGATGAATTCCAGTAAGAATTATTTTGGCGCAGAAGTAATGGGAAAACATATCTCTTTAGTAGCTGAACTTTCATTTTTCATTATAATTTTGATATTATCCAAAACAAAGACATCGCTTTTTCCTATCTCCAGAGAATAGACATTTTGCATTTATACATCCCATACTTAAATTTTTAAGGATCTGCTCTTTCAATGCTTTTTTATTAATATATAATTTTGGATTTCTTGAACATGGTCTCAGTACTAGAATCATCAGACTTTTCTTAAAAGTAATACTATTACTCTTTGAAGTAGCTGTAGCTTGGTAGGTGCAGAAGAGTTGACAGTACGAACTGCAGATCTACCGATGCGACTTTTAGTAAGCTCGATATAACACTTCAAATGCTCGATTAATTCAACTACGGCATCATAGGGCAGACTCAAAGTATGCCGAACTTTAGTAGAAGGTTGAATCTTAGTACATTTCATTACCCTTTATGACTCGTTAATCAAATTAGTAATTGTACTCACCTTCGTCTAAAGCATTCTTTCTTTCATCTTTAAATGACGGCTGCTTAATATTCCACTTGGTGACAGGTAAGTTGGTCCAATCTTCCATAGAATGTAATTCGACCATTTCCATTACCTTCTTATTATACCTATAAAAAGTTGAAACAGTTTAATAATTCAATTACATTTAGATTTCCCCGTAACATATTTTCTAAATTAAATAATTTAAAAAAACTTATTAAAACCCATTTGAAAAATAATTTTAAGTGGATCATATGGCAGGTAATACATCATTTAAAAGGTTTTGAATCCTTTACAACGACGCATACTAACTTAAAAATGTATACTTATAAATAGATTTTGGTTCATAAATAATGAGCTAAAGAAACTAATAAATGAAAACAACACAGAAATATGAAACACATTTAAATATCTTACCTTGAAAGTAATAGAAAAATATTCGACAACGTTACACAGGCACAAAAAACAACAATGGATGACTGATAAAATCCTGGAATTAATGGAGCAGAGAAGGAAACTGAAAGGTAACAAGACAGAATATCAGGAAAAACAGAAACTAATTAAACAAAAAATAAATGTGGCTAAAGAAAAATGGATGGAGGATAAATGCAAGGAAGTAGAAAAGTTGAATGAAAAACATGATACGTTTAATATGTTTAAAAAAGTTAGAGAAGTAGCTGGTCTTTATCATAAGAAAACTCCACATACTATAACCGATTCGTCGGGAAAAATGATAATAGACGAACATGAAATTCAAACAACCTGGTGTAATTATACAGTAATTATAGAGGTGACTTTAGTTGAAGGTGAAGGACCAGAAATACTAAAATCAGAAATACTGCATTTTATAAAGTTAACAAAGAACAAGAAAGCCGTTGGCCCTGATAACATACCGACAGAGATGTTAAAGCTTATAAATGAGGAGAACATTGGAATACTGGTCAAGCTTTTCAATGATGTTTATTCGACTGGTGATATCCCTGAAGATTGGTTAAAGTCCGAATTCATAACACTACCAAAAAAACAACGTTCGAAAAACTGTAGCGATTATAGAATGATAAGCCTTATGAGCCACACTTTAAAAATATTTAGATAAATGATGAGATAAATGTGAAGAAAACCAGGATGAAACACAATTTGGCTTCAGAAATGGACTGTGAATTCGGGACGCCCTCTTTGGACTAAATGTATTACTGCAGGAATGTCGAGATCAAAGGAAAGATGTCTTTGCTGTATTTATTGACTATGAAAAGGCCTTTAATCGAGTACAGCACCACAAATTAATTTCAATATTAAAAGATAAAGGAGTTGATAGTCATGACATACGATTCATAGAAATGTTATACTGGCGTCAAACAGCGATAGCTTGCATAAACGGAAAATCAAGAGAAATATGTAAAAACAAAGAGGTGTCAGACAAAGTTGTATACTATCCCCACTGTTATTTAATTTAGATTAAGATAGAATATTTAAAGAAGCGCTGCATAATTTGGAATGGGGCGTGAAAGTTAATGGAATTCTAATAAATACAATCAGACATGCAGACGATACAGTTATTTTAAGTGATGACATGAATGGACTACAATGCCTTTTAAATGCTATTGATAGAGTGGAAAGAGAGTTTGGCCTAAACATAAACTGTTCCAAAAAACAAAACACATGGTGTTTAGCCGTTTAGCACATCAAGACGCACGATTATATGTTGATGGTCATATAATTCAAAGAGTGTCCAGTTTTAATTATCTCGGTTGCCATATTACTGAACAACTAGATCCAGATCAAGAGATAAAATGTAGAATCGAGATAGCCCGCAAGACATTTTTAAAAATAAGGTCATTCTTCTGTAATGATAACTTGCAACTTCAACTTCGAAAGCGCATGGTTAAATGCTACATTTGGTGAGTCCTCTTATACGGTGTCGAAGCATGGATATTAAAAATATCCACCATTAATCGTATGGAGGCCTTTGAAATGTGGCTGTACAGACGTATACTAAAAATTCAATGGAGGCTATGCTGACAAACGTGGCAGTCCTTGGGAGAGCATGTGCTGCTCGCGAGCTGCTTGATAACATCAAATGTAGAAAGATGGCCTATTTTGGACACGTAGTATGGGGAGACCAATATAATATTCTTCAACTTATTATGATGGGAAAAATCGAAGGACGCAGAGGAATTGGTAGAAAGCAGGCCTCTTGGTTGAAGAATATCAGGAAGTGGACAGAAATAAGGAAAGCTGAGCAACTCCTTAGAATAGCTCGAGACAGAGACAGTTTCACCATGTTAATCGCCAACGTCAAGGGGACTTGATAGGGCACGTTAAGAAGAAGAAAAGTCTTAGATCTTACTTCTCTACCAAAGTACTGTTAGACAAGACCTAATCCTGGAGCAAATTTAAAGAAAATTATTCCCTATTATAGCAAATAAAGTATTATTTATAATAAACGTAATCGGTTCATAGTCGCCGATGATCACCTAATAAGGTAAAAAGAGATTCTGCGAGATAATAAGAAATTTATAAGTGAAGAAAGTTACGCAACCCAGATGTTAAAAAAAGATGTAAAGTACTACTGATTATAATAAAGTAAAAACGTTGGCTCTGTGAGAACTTTAACAATTTTTCGAAGCTGTTGGTTTTTAAATTGTTAACAAAATAATCACTTCAAATAATATATTTTTTGTAAATACAATAAATTTGTCTCCATTTAACTGTCATGTTAGAAATTCTTATCAATTTGTTTTGATATTTAAATATGGTATTGTGAAACTGTATTGCTTCAACTTTGTGAGGTAAACGTACAATTAAATATGTAGATTAAATCCATATTTTTATGTTACACATAGTGACACAATTGGTAAGTTTTACAAGGACAAAAATGAAAATGTGTTCATTATATTGAAAAACAATACAAACAAAAAATGAAAATTGTGAAGGATCTGAAATCACCGATATTTGTGCCGTATGTGCTAACATTAATTTTGACCATTTTTTATTTACATTTTACCTTACTCCTTCCTATTACGGTATGTTTGCATTAATAGCTGATTTAGAACAGCTTTTGTAATTATTCTTGTTATTAAAAAAACAAAAAATATGCGAGTTAAATCTAAAATTGAGAAGAGTTTTTTGTTTCTAATCGGACGCGTCAGCGAAGCTTGCCCAGGTACAGTGGCAGAGCTAATCCAACCACTCTTGAAAAGGGCTTGGAGAGAGGAAAAGTTCCCCAAAGAATGGAAAACGGGATTAATAATAAAGATACCAAAAAAGAGTGACAGAAGATATTGCGAAAACTGGAGAGGAATCACACTTCTGAATACTATAAATAAATTAACAGCAATAATTATAAACAACCGACTAACAAACAGTGTAGAACCAATGTTGAGGAAGGAACAAGCCGGTTTCAGACCAAACAGATCATGCGTGGACCAAATTAACACACTAAGAATAATTGTAGAACAGTCACAGGAATTCAACTCTCCTCTCTTTGTGTGCTTTGTGGACTTCAAGAGAGCTTTTGACACGCTCACACATACGGCCATATGGAAAGCACTGCAGGAAATAGGAATACCAGAAAAAATAGTAAATCTCATCAAAGAACTCTACAGTGACACAGAAAGCAAAATCCTACACAACGGCATAACATCTGACCCAATAGCTATGCTAAACGGAGTAAAGCAGGGCTGTGTTTTTCCCCCATACTATTTAACATTGTACTGGACTCCGTACTAACAAAGGTAAACTCTAATAGAGGAATTTACTGGGGATTAACAAACAGACTGGAAGACCTAGATTACGCTGATGATATATGCCTCCTAGCACATACAAAACAGGACATGCAACTCCAAGTAAACAAAGTACAAGAAGAATCAAAGAAGGTTGGTCTAGAAATAAACATGCCATGTTTATAAAATAAACAACAAAACCAAAGAAATGCGATTTGGTACCAGAAACAACCAACCTATCATGATCAACGACCAGAAAATTGAGAGAGTAGAGGAATTTGTATATCTGGGCAGCATAATTGACTGTAATGGGGGTACAGAGCGTGATGTACATGAAAGAATAAATAAGGCTCGCAACGCCTACAACATGCTTAACAACATATGTAAATCCAGGATTTACCCAACTAAAACGAAATTAAACATCTTCAACACAAATGTAAAAGCTGTATTACTGTATGGCTGCGAAACGTGGAAGATATCAGCACCCATAGTACACCAATTACAAGTTTTCATCAATAGAGCGTTACGAAAAATCCTACGTATATTTTGGCCTAACCGAATCTCCAATGAAAATTTATGGAACCAAAGCAACCAAGAAAATGTCATAAAGCAAATAAGGCGAAGAAAATGGAGATGGCTGGGCCACACACTCCGTAGACCGCCAAATGACATTGCCAGGACAGCGCTGGATTGGAATCCCCAAGGCCGACGGAAAGTAGGCAGACCTAAGGGAACTTGGAGAAGGACAGTACTGGACGAAGGGAGAAAAATGGGAAAATCCTGGCTTGAAATCAAAGCACTAGCCAGAAATAGAGTTCGCTGGAGACACTTTGTGGAAGCCCTATGTTCCTCTTAGGAATCTTGGGACTATATATATATATATATATATATATATATATATATATATATATATATATATATATATATCGGACGCGTCCCAGGTGAATAGGAGAATGCCCTAACCGATTCTAGGATCGGTGGGTAGTTGGGAAATAAAAATACCAACCCGAACCAAAACAGATTAAGGTATGGCAACCCTAACAGAAGAGCCCCTGACCTTCCAGGTTGGGCGTTGGGCTAGTGGACGACAACCTCTTCCTGTAAAAAATCATATGTTACGGAACGTCAGGAACTATCAGCTTGACTGAACTCACGACGGCGACTTTGCAAACGAAAAATTGAGTTAAGATTAGGAACATGGAATACTCGAAACCTGAACCGAACTGGAGCACTCAAATCTTTACTAGACACAGTTCACTACAGTGAAAACCCACAAAATAGATATTTTAGCACTGCAGGAAATGCGGTGGATGGGAGCTGGCACTCTTGACAAGATAATCCATTCAATATATTATAGCTGCAATGAAAGCCAACAAGTGGATGGGATGGGATTTATTGTAAGTCACAGAACAAAAGGCCTTATTATTGGCTTTAAAGTCTACAGTCAAAAAATGTGCTATTTTCACTTAAAGGGGACAGGAAATAGGAAATAGGAATTAAAGGGGAAATTCTTTAATTACAGTTTGATCAATGCTCATGCCCCAACTGATGACAAACCAGAGGCAATAAAAGAACAGTTCTTCAAAGACCTAGAGCAAGCCTGCAGAAGATATCCCAGAAATGACATTAATATTGTATTAGCTGACATGAATGCAAGAATAGGACGAGAGCAAGATAAAGGCATGGAACAGACGTAATAAACTGCAGAAGCTATAGAGGCGAAAACATAGACTCAGATCATTGCTTAGTGATCTCAAAATTAAGGGATAGAATTTGAAACACCGATAAAGAAAATAAACTGGATAGTAAAAATGGAATGAGCAAAACATGAGAGATACGACAATTACAGAACGGTACTTGGAAAACATCACCAACAGGCAAAGGAATACAAATGTAAATAAAGGAGGCCAGACAGATATAGACTTCTACTGGACAAGAATAAAAAAGACAACAGCAAAACATGGTCACCATAAAGAAGCTGACTATGATACCATAAAGGCATTACATCAGCTTATAAAAGAAATATGGACACAGAAATCCCTCCCAATAATTGTAATATTAGAATACTTTGCACCATATACAAAAAAGGAGATATCTTTGAATGATCTAACCACAGAGGAATTAAGCTTCTAAATGCAGCGTAAATGCACATTTTCCACATTATTACGTCACCGTATGGCACCATATGCAGAACGGATAGTAGGAAAATACCCGGCTGGTTTCAGAGGTGGTAAATCGGATTCATCAAATTGCAACCCTGAAACAAATTTTAGGAAAAAACATTGGAATATGGCATAGATACTCATCACATATTTATAGACTACAAAACAGCCTATGACTCTGTAAATAGAAAAGAAATGTTTAAATCAATGAAAGAGCTAAGAATACCAAATTAGTTGATAATTTTAACAAAACTAACTCTTGAAAAAGTTTAAAGTACAGTACGAATTTATGTGGACCTTTCTGAACCTTTTAAAACAAATAACGGGCTGCGTAGGGAGACCCTCTCTCCTATATACTGTTCAATCTGGCTCTGAAAATAGTAATACGTATGTCACAAATTATAACCATTGGTTCAATATATATTAAATCAGTGCAAATCCTTGCCTATGCTGATCATATCAATATTGTTAGGAGAACGGAAAACGCTGTACGAGAGGCGTATGTAGTAATAAAAGAATAAGCTACAAAAATGGGTTTAATAATAAACACCAACAAAACGAAGTATATGAAAATAAGCACGCAACCACAAATCCTATGCCCACTTGTTATAGAAAACAACGTCATCGAAGCAGTGAACGAATTTGTATACCTGTGAGTGCTCCTTAACACTGAAAAGAACAGAATTTTTATAGCTAACAGATAAGATTTTGGGCTGAATCTCGTCCTTAAATCCGAGATATAAAGAAATATATCGAGAAATACAAAAATAAAACTCCACAAAACAATAATACGCCCAGTTCTATCATATGATTCAGAGACCTGTACGCTAACAAAAAGTAATGCAAACATGTTAGGATGTTTCAAAAAATTACTAAGGCGAACCTATGGAGCAGTGAATGACAACGATACAGAATAAATAACAATAATAATGCCCACTCCCAGATGCCGACTTTGAAGTGTGTCAGCACACGATAGCCATATTTTAAACGGAAACCCAAACTCGGATTGAGAAATTTTGTAACAAATTACGACAAGACAATAATTTAAATTTTTAGAGATTATTAGTTTAGTAAATTTGAAATAATTTAATCTATTCGTCAACTAAAAGTACCACATAAAATATTGCATATTATGTCTATAGTTTCCGTATATCAATTAAACCATGTTAATTTTATATACCATATAAAATTTCACTAAACAGCACTGGTTCCGTTTAAAACATTGCTGATTCCGTCTGGGCGAACGTACGTGAGATGCGCGTACTTATCTTGACAAGCAGAGTGGCATTCGGATTGTTATTTATTCTGTGACAATGGAGTGTGGAAAAGACTTGAGACCCACGCAAGGCTGTTAAGCCAGAATAAAGATGATAAATCTAAAATTAACGTAGATCTACAGATTAAAATTTTTTAAATTTAGCAAAAAATGCAATCATGTCCCCGCTCTTTTTTTATTTAAAAAAAAAACAAAATTTAAAAATATAACAGTTTTTTAAAACAAGTGTCTCTTCATTATTATACTTGTTAGTTGTCAGAATGCTAATTGCACAATACAACAATTAACAGGGAATCAGTTAAAATACTGATAGACTTAATTGATTTTCTCCTTCTTTCTACAGTATCACTATCATCATTCAATTCAATAATAAATGTATTTCCATTATTAATGCAGAAGTGTCCAATCCTATTAGAGAAGTCTTGAACTTTTATCACTTTGGATATTCTTTTCAATCGGTCTTCTTTGGTAATATTAGATAGTTCTTTTTTAATTACCCCAATTATCTTGTCAAATTTTCTCCAAATTAACTCTATATAAGCACTTGTATACTTGTTGTCAAGCACTATTACACTTTTTGGGTTTAAGTTTGGGTTCACTAAGTTTTCAAACAAATCTTCAAAAAGAACAAAGAATCATGCCCACATCTCTTCAGATTCTGAGCAACACTACCTCGTTCATTCTTGTGCCTCAAACAACACCAACGTTTGTACAATGTTTGCACAATTTTGCAAAATTTCGTGCTTATGATTTTTCTGTCATGAATATTTTCTGGTCTTTATTTATGATACAGTAACAACATGGTATTTGTAATTTTAGAAAAAAAAACCTTTAAAATAAAAACTTCCCAAATATTTGATATGATTTATAAAAATATAAGCATGAAGATGAATGTCAGAACGTGAGAATTGACAATTATTCAACAAAAAAGTATTCAAGTTATTAGTATCAATGTTAATTTAGTGTTAGTGGTAATTTTCATAAGTATTCAGTCGGATTTTTTTTTAAATTTGAACATCTATTTTAATTTAACCTAGGTTCTGTTTTAATTAACAATAACCCAATGATTTTGCTTTTGTACTATCAAAAATAATATTTACCTTGGAACAAAGCATCGTTTTCGATCTTGAAAGATTTTCCTAACAATTGGTTCAGTGTCAATTTCAGTATCAAGACTAAGATAAAGGGATATATTCCTTGCGTCTTTAAATTGGTTTAGACCAAACAACTAAAAGTAATGAAACAGAAATATGAATAAATTTTACATAAAACAGTGAAAAGCACTAAATGGCATGTTTTGTTAACGCAACCTTAACAGTAATAACGTAAAAGAACTGTATACCGAGGGGTCTCCCAATTCCGTTCGACAAAGAAATTGGGCTCTATACCTCAGAGTTTGGTCTCAATCAGACGGCCGAGTAGAATTTTTTATTTTTGATAGGTTATATCACAAAATACACCATCCCAACAAGAAGCGAAAGCTTTGTCGGGGTACCTTTGATGTTAGGAGTACAGAAATTTCGGTGTGACAGTGACAGTTAAACTACTTAGTACACGAAGAAAAGTAATAAGGAAGTCGTTCAAAACCGTAGTCAAATTATAGTTACACTGAGAAACAAAGTAATATTTTTTTAAGAAGATCTGTTCTGTATGAATTGTATTTTTTTGTTAAATTTAATATAACTTATATATTAATTCTGTACTCATAAATAAAAAGGTCTTAAGTCAAAAATATCGATTTGCTTTTTAACAAGCAAATTAACGTACTAAAAGTATTTTAGTACATTAAAAAACCGATAAAAAGCAATTGAATTTGAGAGTTAATTTCAAAATTGAGATGAAAAGCAATCGATTTCTATTACTTTTTATCGTTTTTTAAGGTTAATAAAAAACAAACTTCATCACTCAAAATCTCTATTTTTGACTCGAGACTTTTTTATTTATCAATACAGAATTATACTTTTAAAATTTCTATTAACTTTGTCTTAAGTTGCTGACTTTTTTCGTTTCCTTTTGAGGAATTTCTTGAAATGTGAATATCTATACTTCATCTAATTTACTTACCAATGCACGTCATTATCATTGACAGAGATCGAAGTTGACACAGTTGCCAAAGTATAAAAAATCCTGACTCCATTTTAAATCAAATAGGTCACATAATTATTGCAAAAGGATTACCATCTCTTTACAACGACTATTTAAATTCTTACGTGACATTTTTGAAATAAAACACTCTAATTTTGTTCTAAAAAGCACAGATTTTGTTAAATAGGTAAAAATATAAAACAAGAGGTATTCACTTTAAAATTCAAAATAATAAAGTATAAAAAGTGTCAACACCGCAACTGTCAAATAAGTGTTACCAATTTATGCCAAAATTTCACCTTCGTTCGATTACAGTTACAGTGTGTTCCGAACAAATGTTCTTCATAAAAACGCTTTATAATGCACTTATACAAATTAAATGAAACATTAGAGTGTATTACTTTAAGTTACCACTAATAAAAATCTTTAAATATTATATATACGCGTATATAATAAAATATGTCTAGTGGCTGTAATGCCAGTGTACTCGGCAAGGTGATTCTAAAACAGAACACACCTACCGCCTAAATATTTCGTATTGGTATCATGTGACGTCACGGGTTATGACGCCGATGACGGGCATCGGTATGTAAATTAGATGAAATATACTTCTATCTATCTACCTACCGGGCTGTATTAGGATTTAACTCCTTCAGTTTCAAACGTTTTTTAAATATGAGTCTTAGCTAAATAATATAATCCAGCATATTTTTAACATACTATATATTTTGATCCGTTTAAAAACCTGAATACGACCTATAATACGTACAATTAATTTTAAGAAAATTAGTGTCAAATATTAAGTGCATTCGAAAATTCAAGTTAAAATTTAACTCAAGAAGGATGCATTTATTAACTATTCTATATTGAATGTGTAAGTTTGGTTTAGTTTTTATTTGTAAAAAATGTTTATGGTAGTTCTTTCTCGCAGTTTGTATTATCAAGTATGATAAAATGACTATCTAATTAGTAAAACATTAATTTAAAGGAATTGGACGGACACAGGAACCTTCTGTCCTATATCCGTCCAGGGTAGACGTACAGAGTTATTTTAAGCCGACCCCATAAAATATTACTAAAAAAGATTTTTGTTTCAGTTTTTTATTATCTGCAACTATGGTATACAAAAATCGTATGAAGTATCCTCGAGAGAATATCCAAAAAGCTATAGAAGATATTAATTTGAAACGTTTAAGTATTCGACAAGCCTCCAAAATATACAATGTGCCTAAAAGAACTTTGTTAGATACTATGAAAGAAAAGTACAAATCTCTGAGCAATATTGGAGGGCTAACACTTTTGTCCAGTTCTGAAGAAGACTTGATTATAAAATGGATAATCGAAATGGGCAACGTGGGATTCCCGGTAACAAGATCTCAACTTGTTGATTCTGTTTCAAAACTAATTCAAAATTTAAAAACGAAATACCCCATGTAAAAATTACATACCTGGTAAAAAATGGTACAATGATTTTCTCGCTCGTCATCCAGAAATTTCAAAACGTGTACCACAATCACTATCTTCTTGTAAAGCCGCAGTTACGGAACATAATATAAAAAGTTGGTTTACCCAACTTCGGGATTATATGACAAAAATGAATTATTAAAAAAAAATTTAAAAACCCCAAAAGAATATTCAATTGTGATGAAAGTGGTTTCTATTTATCCCCTCAAGAAAAACAAGTTTTGGTTAGAAAAGGTGCAAAAAGGTATACAATCGCATAGCTAATGATGAAAAAGAAGGTCTTACAGTTGTGCCAACCTGTGGAGCTGATTGTTCTCTACCGCCGCCATTATTTTTGTATCCCTACAAAAGGTATGTGTCAGCTGCAATAATAACGAACATGCCAAAACAGTGGGGAGTTGGGCACTCTGAATTTGGTTGGATGACAAGTGAGACATTTTATCAATACGTTACAAATGTATTTTTCCCTGGTTGGAAAAGAACAGTATTCCACTCCCAGTGATATTGTTTCTGGATGGACACTCTTCCCACATCAATCTGCCTATTACTGAATTCTGTAAAGAAAAAGGTATCATTTTAACAGCATTTTACCCCAACGCAACTCACCGATTACAGCCGTTAGATGTTGATATTTTTTATCTTATTAAAAATAACTGACGAAAAGATGTTCGATGTTGGCGTATGGAGAATAACGGAAGAAAACTTCAACGGGCTGATTTTGCAAAACTCAAAAGTGAGTTTGAACTACTGAAAGGATTAAACAAACCTTTAAAGGCTACAGTCTGTACATCGATAATAAAAAGTGCATTTGAATCATGTGGACTCTTTCCCGTCAACGAAAATGGCATTGATTATTCAAAATTAATAAAACCAATAGAACAAAAAGATGCTGATGATAAAATAACTGAATCCCCATCCACTACAACTCTTAATGATGATGCTTCTGACCTATAGAGGTAGAGATACGCCTAAACCCAGAAGTTGTTAACCATTTTAGAATCACTGAATCAGCGGCCCAACTAGAAGAAAAATATGTGGCATTGTATGATTTCTGGAAGAGTCTTCATCCACAAAATGTCGATCATGATACAACTTTGGAAAACAATTTGCCGATTAATGCTGCTAACGAGACTATTGTTGACATACACCTCGATGAAAACTTTTGCTCTCGAAATAATAATACCATTGAAGTCACAGTAAAAGCAGATGGAGCATTGGTCTTAATTCCTTCACAGAATAGCAATTCTAGTTTGCCAAAACCTGGTCCATCATCATCCAAGGACAATGATTCTGAGAAAATAGACTACTATTTAGCAGTAAGTTCTCTCCAAGAAAAAATACCACTTAAGAACAAAGTAGTAAACAGAACTCCTTGTAATAGCCCATTAAAAGATGATTCAATAGTTATACTTCATTCTGATCAAAAAAGACAAGTACAACATCAAGAAAAAACCCTACTTAAGCGAATTACAACAACATCAGAGAATATTAGTAAATATACAACACCTTTCAAAAAAGCACTATTTTGAGCGAAAAGCTCTACAAGAAAAAAAAAAATAATAGCACAAAAGACACCAACGAAAGGAAAAACCAAAGCTTTATCCTACAGTAGCTATACGTGATGAATTTATGGAACATCAACGAAGACTCAAAAAAGAAAAAGAGGAACAAGAAAATGAGAAATGTGAACGAATCCGAAAGATAAAAGAAAAAACAGAGATCCAACAAGTCAAAAAGACAAACTGTCCTCCAAAACACACACTAAGCATAGATACTGATAATAATAATAATAATAATAATTGTGTTGGTGCAGTACGACAATGAATATTTCCCTGGTGTAGTTCTGAACGAACCAATGATACTTTAAGAGTTAAAAGTATGACTATGAGTGGAAAGTACTAGAAATGGCCAGATAGAGATAACATTTTAAATTATGAATTTGATGATGTAGTTTGTAAGATTGCGAGACCTTTACTCATAAATAAAGGCGACGCCTATGGAGTTTCAGAAATTGAAAACTAAAACAATAAAGTCTTCTTTTTTATAATTTAATTCATTTGCAGGCATTAAGTTCTTTTCAAAACTTTGTACTTAAATAAAACTTATTTTTAAATTATCTGTTTTGTTTGTTGGCCATTTTTTTGCAAATTGACTCAAAAATTATTCATAAAGGGTTTTTTTTTGTTATAACTAAATAAATAGGATGGATAACGGCACTCTTGTGAACGGTATTGGGAAAAAATCGTTCATGTGGACGGAAAACGGCTATTTGCGAAATGTTTGCATTTGATTTCTTAAATAAGCAATTTTGTTGATATGACTAGTGTTATTATTATAAATTTGGCTCTAGTAAGAATTAATAATGCATAAAAACTTATAGACATGCATTACTTTAAATTTCAATGATTCGGAATTGATTTTTCAAACAATTTTATATATACCACTTATATCCGGTCGGAATTCGGTGCTCTTACGTTAGTCCTGAATATGAGTTTTTCCAGTATAAGTCCAGGTTTTCTGCTCAAAGGTCTTTTTATATGCATGGATTGACTTGACATTTTTAAAGTAGGTACAAAATAGCTCAAAGATAAAAATCTATACCAATATGTGCTTTTCCTTTGACGGTTTAGAAAATGTTTATCAAAAAAAAAATTAATGGTGATTGCTAGAATAGTAAATTTTATCATTTTTTAATTAGAGTTGTTCGTGACTCATAGTTTACCAATTACACTGCAAAGAAGCATATTTTTAAACAATTTTTCGCGAATAACCCCAAAAATTTATCTATAATATATAAATATTTATCAAAATTTTATCGAAAAAACAAGTTATGGCTGGTCGAAAGTCGACATTATTTGATCGAATAGAAAAATCCAAATACATGATGTATAACCGGTAAAAAAGTCACCCTGCCAAAACTACCCTGGTTGAAACTATGCGTTTCTCATTTACAGTTTTTATCTTATACAAACATTACATTCTAGAAGTTTAACTGGTTAACCCTCTAAGGACGAAATTTCCAAAGTTTTAAAAATTCTTCCGAAAAAATGTTTAAATTAAATTTAAATCAATAATTATGTGTATGACATATTAATATTTAATTTTTATCATTATTTTTACAAAAAAAAAAATTGAAAATTTATACATTACGAAGATGTCACATTAGGCATCTATAAGTATACAGTAATTTAAATTAAAATATTTACTGGTGCAAAAACGTCATTTTTGAATAGCATGACAAATTTTAATTATGATGAAAATCGTAAAAAAAATTCGAATTTTTATTAATACATAAGTACAAGGTGCACTTCTCACTAATGCACAGAAACTGCTTTACAACCAGGTTTTCGACATCGTCCTCTTTTATTATTTACAGCGAGCTAATGTTCTATTTCATATTGCCGAATATCCTTTTGAAGAATCTTTTTTGTAGCTGTACTATTGTGTTTTTTTGCTGCACGAAGATAATAAATAGAGCTACTGCTGGGAAGTCCCAATTTTTTGGTAACTGTCAGTGAGCTACTTTGATTCATTAGACTTTCGGCTATGCGACTCTTAAACTCAAACAGAGATAGTTCGTTTTTCTTTGGAACACCAAAATCATTGCAGTCACGTCTATATAAAAGCCAACAATTTACAACTGCCATATCCATAAAATGTAATAAAAAATGATGGTAATATTTCTTCGATATAATTGTGATTCTGTATCTGTATAGCCCTATTAGTGAATTCATAAGATCTACTCAACCCATGAATTTATTGTAAGTTCTAATTGCTGTAGGGAACTGAACATCTACAGTATCTTTTCTTGTTTTATCCCATCTTCTAATTGTATCAAGAGGTTTGGCGAAGGAAAAGTTGGAGATAAGCAATACTGCACGAGAGTCGTGCTATTTGATAATTCTGCAAGGTACATTATCAGTTTTCAACTCTATTTACTGAAACGATCTGCGTCCTCTTCTTTTCAGGAATTTTGTCTGAAAATAAAGGACACCTAGGAAGACGGTTTGAGCGGACTGTTCCTAGACAATATTTTTTCTTTTGAACTAGCTTATTCAAAACAGACATCGATGAAAACCAATTACCGATATAAAGAAGGCGATTGTCTTATTGAATGTGACTGTTACAACAATATTGTCGCTAGAACCAATATCATTGTATCCTGGAGTAGCGGAAATATTTCCAGTATATATTTCAAAATCGTATCCAAGACCACTGGAGCCTGCCAACACATAAATTTAATAGCCCCATTTGTAAGGCTTTTCTGGCATGTACTGTTTTAGTCCGGAATGACCCTTGAAAGGAACCATTTGCTCATCGATCACGACCATCTGCTCCTTTGGAATATTTCGAAACTTTTCTCCCAAATGTTCTACTAATCTTGTATAGTCTATCTAAGTTTGACGGATCAATTTTGGTATTATCGGAGAAATGTATATGTTTTTTTATTGTTTCCCATCTGTTTCGACTCAATATTTCACGAACTGTAGTAATATCAAATTGAGAACTCCAATATAATCGAGTTTTTGGTAGTTTTATCAAAGACATAAAATACTGTACCCATAAATTGTTCTAGCTCTTTTATTGTCAACCCCAGAGGTTTATTGGAGTTTGTTTGAACGGCAAATAAATTCGATTGGTAAGTAATCAAATTTAGAAGGTTATCGTCGAAAATTTTTCTAAAATAGTCTATGTGGTCTTTTATAGAAGTAGCTTTTGGTAATATGTAGCTCCACATTGGAGTAACAGTGTCAGTATTGTTTTTTCTGTTATATCGGTATGTTAATCTTTATTGCGCGTACATTATTCGTTTATTATTTCTTCATCACCATCACTAAGGTCTTCCTCAATTTCAGAACCAGAGTCTTCTTCTATTACCCATTCATCACTTTTATTTTCAGAATCAGAAACATTTACATCATTATCACTTGGTATGTCATTGGCTTGATGCCGTTTTCGTCCATAAAACACAGCTGGATCCATTTTAAACTATTTTAGTTACTGACTATAATATAACGCCGAACGTAACGAAATCGTAACGTTTACAACACGTGTTCAATTTTCAACTTACGACTGTTTATAGTGATAAGCATGAACTATCCATACTACACAGAACTTTCCCGCTAATATCTATTTTACAGATTCCTTCCCGGTAAATATTCACTGATTTTGTCGAATTCAAAATTACAGTTATCTGTTATTCCAACTTGTATCCTAACCTGTTTCGAGAAGCATGCGGTTGAAAAATTGGCCGGAGTGTGTCGCAGTGACTGATTCAGTATGAGGCGTAATATTACGAATTCGTAACTTTCGGCATCGATGAGATTAGGTTAATATTTTGTCTACAAATCACTTTTGATTGGAACGTTATGAAAACGTCACACTCGTCCTTAGAGAAGGTATATTTTTCAGAAAATCCAAATTTAAAGTGAAGACACGATTTTCGAAATTTCCCAAAAAAATTATTTTTCAAAATATTTCAAACAACTAAAAGTTACGAAAAATCATTAATACGAAAAAAAAAACAACTTTTTCTTACTGAAAATTTTAATTTTTTTTATTTCTATAGACTAAAAATTAAACGAGATATGATTGTTTAAATGTTGTATTTGCATGTCTTTTGTGCCATTTTCGAGATTTTTCACCGCAACCCTTTTTAAAGCGAAACGATTAAAAACAATTAAAATACATCACCTTACATCTTTTAAAATGAGTTTTTGACAGACCCGTTAACGTAAAAACTAAAGGAATTATGAATAAAAAACCAATACACGCCAAATTAAAATTAGGTTTTAAAATATTTATACAACTAGTTATTATTTTAAAACTTACCTTTTCTCTTACTATCTGGGATTGCCTCTGTCTTTCTTGAGGAGTAAGTTGTCCTAATTTTTCTTCGACCTCTTTCCGCAACGCTGCTTTTAACGCCTTTATGTCACTACCCATTTTTGTTGCTAAACTACAGAAAAGTAATATTGAACAAGAATATCCTAATATAGAATAGATTAGGATTGGGTAATTAAAAAATAACTTGTATGTGTTTATAAGCTAAATAATGTAAACATTAATTATCGATAAGTCCACTATCATAAATAGTCTTTTATTCAACAGTTTCGAGGAATTGATAAATGCCAATCATTTCTTAGAATTTTAGAAAACATTTCGAACTCAGTGCAGTGCTATACGTTGTTAAAATATCAAGGAAGCATAATAATTGATATATTCATTTACTTTGCTTGACATTTTACTAAAATTATCATCACAGGTGTCATTTAATCCATTGGAATTGCAGGATTTAATTAGCTTATTATAATTTGATTGATATGAATGCGATTGAGCTGAATGATTATTTTTAACATATCTTGTTACAGTTACAGTCTTCCTATATTGTAATCGACTATAAGCTACAACGTATTATTGACGGGGAACCGGTCGCTGACGGGGGATCGCCCTGAGGGGGGATCGGTCGCTGACAGGAGATCCCCCTAACGGGGGATCGGAGGATCGGAACTTCCCTAGGACGCGATCAGTCGCGCGTTAGATTTTATCTAACGCCGTCGTCAATACTTTTTTTTTTTTTTTTATTAAGTAAACCGCGTCAACCATGAAAGGTTATTGGCGGGAATGAGTTGTACATAAAATTAGATGTTTGCTTATAACTACCATTTACAACTGATAACTTAAGTCTATTTTTTTATATAATATTGTACAATTTAGTTAGTTTTAGAAACTTAGACACTTTATCACAGTTACTATAGTTTAGAGCACATTTCAGATCACTTGGTAAATCACTTTGAAGTCGTTCCAGGTGATAGAGTGGACAACTAACAATAATGTGTTCGATTGTCAGAGGAATATCACAAACATAGCACAGTTTTTGTTGTTCTTTCTTCATTAGGTACTGGTGGGTTAACCTGGTATGTCCTATTCTTAAACGATGTTGTATGACTTGATCTCGTCGTTTTTGTGGCATTATCCCTTTTGGTGACAAATTTGGGTTAATGCGTTTTAGTTTGTTGTCGTCAAGTTTTTTCCATCTCTCGAGCCATATTCTCATTGAAAATTCTTTGATGGTGTTTTTAATGTCGGACAGAGGAATTTCTGGGAGCTCTTTATCTTGTTTATTCGTATAGCAGGCTTCTTTAGCTTCCCGATCAGCTTTTTCATTACCTATTATGCCTACATGAGATGGAATCCAAACAAATTCTACCCTTTTATTCTTACTGTAAAGTTCTTCAAGATCAATTTTAATTTGGCATAGTATTGGGTGGTTTGGGTAAACCCTTAATATTTCTTGTACTGCACTTAAAGAATCTGTGAAAATGACTGCTTCCAATTTGGGCTGGTTTGATATATGTTGTAGGGCTTTAGATATGGCATACAATTCGGCGGAATATATGGAGTACTCCTTAGGTAGCTGGAACTGATGTTTAATTGTTTCGTCAACGAAAGCTGCGCCTACCGTTTTCATTTCAGAAGTTTTTGACGCATCTGTATATATTTGGTAATATCTTTTGTACTTGTCTTTAATCGCTTGAAACCGTTGTAGAATTATATGTGATGAAGTATCAGATTTAGGATACTGTAGAAGATTTGTATTACATGTGGGGAGTTTTATGGTCCAAGGAGGAGGGTAGTTCATTTCATTGGGAATAACTTTCGGGAAATTGAAACCTGTAATTCTTTTACTAAATGATGCAGAAAGAAAGGGTTTTTGTTCAAAAATTAAATGAAAATTGTCAGAAAATGTGTGGGAGTAAGCAGGGTTATTACAGTTTGCTCCAATTTTAGCTGCATATTGTAGGCTTAGTCTGTGTCTTCTAATTGAAAGTGGTGGTTCATCAGCTTCTACATAAAGACTTTCTACTGGACTGGTTCTGTAGGCTCCAAGTGCAAGCCTTAACGCGGTATTTTGTATGATATCCAATTGCTTTAGTAAACTATCTTTAGCTGAACTGTAGACTATTGATCCATAATCTAGCTTGCTACGAATCTGTGTTTTATATATATTAAGTAATTGTGAGGTATCTGCTCCCCAATTATGATTGGCTAATACTTTTAGAATGTTCATATTTTGCATGCAAGATTTTTTAAGTTGTTGAATGTGGGTTTTCCAAGTGAGTTTTGAATCTAATACCATTCCCAAAAATCGATGTTCTTCTACATACTGCAAATTTTGATTGTAAAGTGTTAATTTTGGTAAAATTGTTTGTTTGTTTCTTGAAAAACATATTGCTTTTGTTTTGTTTGTAGAAAAACGAAGACCTGTTCTCTCTGACCACTTTTCTAAAGCTTTGATGGACTCTTGCAGAACACTAACAGCTATTCGGCTATTTTTATTGCTTACATAAAGAACAAGGTCATCTGCATATAAACCAATTTGGACAGGAGTATTAATGTTATCAACAACTTCATTCATTGCAATCAAGAAAAGTGTTACACTAAGTGTTGATCCTTGGGGAGTTCCATTATCTTGGGTATACGAAGTTGACAAATGATTATTAAGTTTAACTCTAAAATTTCTATCATAAACAAAATTTTTGATAAAAGCTAGAAGATTTCCGTCCACACCCCATTGTTTTAATCTTTTTAGGACATCATACTTCCACACAGTATCGTAGGCTTTTACTATATCAAAGAAGACAGCCAGTACTTGGCGATTACTTGCAAATGCCTCGTGTATGACCGATTCTAGTTTAATCAAATTGTCCGTTGTACATCTGTTTTTCCTAAATCCGCTTTGTTGTTTGCATATTAAATTATTGGATTCCAGGAAGTATTGCAGACGTTTGTTAAGTATTTTTTCTATTACTTTGCACAAAGTCGTCAATACTATTTGATAAATGTTGCTGTTTTTAGATACAGTAACGCAAAACAAGTATTCAAAGTTATTTAACACAAGATATTCATTAACAAAAGATCCTCCTCACTGGAATTGTTACAGTCAATTCAAGTATCTGTGGTTGTTTGTGTATGTTCCTTGCAAATTGGAGATATACAAGTTGCACACTAGTGTTGGATGAATCGGTATTTCCTAATTGGGCAGTATTTACAGCAGACTTTTTGTTGAAAATTTCTTTTTGGAAAACGATGCAGTGGTTCTATTTATTTTTTTGGCAATATCATTGGTTATTTTTTTTTGGAGTAAAACAAATAGGTTTAAAATAAAAGAACGCATTAGATCTAAAAGCGGCTTCCCACGATCGGCGATATTAAGGACGGACGCAGACCAGCACGCACCCACGCACCGTGGGAAATGTCTCGTCAGTGGTAGCATAGGCATGTCTGTTCTGGTGCGTTGTATACATCGAGAGTCGATAACATCAAAGGTGCGGTACATGCCTTGCGATGCGATCCGAACGCGTCCGTGTTTTAACAGAAGACAAGTGCAAGTCAGAAGTCGTCTATTCGCTGACACGAGTAGTTGTCTATACTATTGTCAACGATTTTTGCTAAAAAATGGAATGGGCGAACGAAGTTATTTTTGCTTTTTTAAATTTGTATCAAAATTAACCAAGTTTATGCAATTCTACGACATCAACGCATAAGAACCGGAACGTTAAACCAGTGATACTCAACCTGCGGCCCGCGGGCTGCTACCATAATATTATTATAACATAAATGTTTCGAACTTTACACGATCCCTATTCACGTTACAGTCGTAACTATGATTTTTTTTAATGGCAAAGTATAGACATCATGTGATACCTCATTTAAACGCTTTTGAAATACATTTTTTTTTTCGAATCATGAGAAAACTAATGAGTATTTTTGAAAAATTTAAACGCCGAATGAAAGATCACATTATTGTATGTATTTGAAATGAAAAACCATACTAAATTTTCTCTTTGTTTTCACCCCTGCAGAGCCGTGGGGTCCATCTTTTAATATGATGCAAGTCTTTGAAATGCCGCCTCTTATATATGATTGAAATTTAACTTTCATTTTTATGCATTTTTTATCAAATCCTGAGTAAACTAATTAATATTTTTAAAAACTTTAAATGCAGAATAAAATATTTCATTATTACCCAGAGCGTAAATTCCCTTAGAATAAATAAAAAGTTTCTTTTGAATGAAATATTTGAAATTAAAAATCACAATAAATTTTCTGTCCTTTCACCCCTGCAACTTATTAAAATAGACATAGAAATTTTCAGGGACTTTCTGCTCTCGGTAATAATGTAATCTTTCACTCTGCGTTTAAATTTTTCAAAAAAACTTATTAGTTTTCTCAGAATTCGAAAAAACCAATGCATTTTTATCCTGGCTCGCTTTTTTATCCTGGCTTGAATTTCATTTTCAGCTGGAAATGCAATACATATAAACTTTTCTTCAATTGCATTAAATTTTCATTTGGTCATTAGCCATATTATCTGTAACTTTTCGTTTTGTCTATAGTTTCTGACAACAATTTTACACAGCCTGACATTTTTTTTATTTTACTGATTATGCCGCCCCCCTTGTGATGCCGCCTGATGCGACTGCCTCGTCGTATCACAGCACGGCACGGCCCTGCACCCCTGTAACTTATTAAAATAAACTTATGGCCCTGCACCCCTGTAACTTATTTTATTCTGCGTTTAAATTTTTCCAAAATTCTTATTAGTTTTCCAATAATTAAAAAAATTAATGTATTTAAAAAGCATTTGATCGAAATTTTGCGAAAGTATTAAACATTTTTGAAATCAGTATTTTGAAAATAATGTATATATATATATATATATATATATATATATATATATATATATATATCCTCCTGAGACCTGACCTGATCTTTCTTGTTTTTTTTTTGATTAAATAATAGAATTTGTTTGATGTTTAGTATAAAAACACATGTAAATTTTTCTGAATTTTTATTTTTTTGCTGAATGTGAAAAAAAAAACATGTCCATTTAAAAGGACATCAGGATCGCATCAATACAAACTTATTGTAAATGAAATTGTTTAAAGCATCTAT